TCTACCAGTTAACCCCAACAAAAGCCAGTGGAATTACAGAATTGTTTGATTCTCGTTGCTTTCACCTGATGATCACTGACAACAATCAGCAGATAGTGTAAGTTACACTGCTGGCAAAATACAAACAGTGAGCTACAATACACAGAAGACTAAATGTACTACTGTAAAGCAAAATAAAAACTTCACTGTCTAGTAGAAGCATGCAGAGAGAAATATAACCTTTTAGTCTGTTGAATCTGTTACATGTCACTGGGTGTACTGTAAACTATCCCACACTGAATGCTTCAGCTAGACAATAAGTCTAAGAATTTGAGATGTTGTCCTCTTATTGAGAGAGATGGAAAAAAGGGCTGTGCTGCATAAATATGACCTATAACAAAACAGAATGAAAAGTAGTTAAAGACCTTTCCTTGTCTGCCTTCAGAATAGTAGGGGGAAGAAGTTGCTTTTTGAGGAACAAAGCGTTTAGAGGTAAGTTTTGAAAATGCTTGTGCGTATCTCATGTCAGCCTCAACAGTTTGTAGAGAAGTGTAACATTCTATAAAATATTTGACGTGTTTGTGTTGGCTAGTTTTAAAGAGCTTTATATATGATGATTTCATGTTGCTGTTAGAAAGTAGTGAGATTAGGAAAACCAGTATTTTTTGGCTACTTTGTTCATACCTTATGTCTGCCAAAAGGAAGGGATGAAATAGTTGTTGGAGCCAAAGAGGCTTGCCTCAGCTGTGGTGATGTATCCTTGAATGCTACTGTCTACCTCTGTGGCAAGTCAGTCCATTTTTCTGACTAAATTCCTCACTGTTGAATTGTCAATAAACTTTTCTCCAGCTCACCAGAAAATAAATATATTAAGACATTTTAAGGAGGTGAGTTGATGGTATCTGAGCGAAGAATCAAGAGCCTGGCCTTGACTACAGGAAGAATCTTCAAAGGAGTCTTGAAGGAGCTCAGAACCCAACTGCTGTCACCTTCACCTAACTAACTCAGTTCAGCTTCTTCACAGATCCCAGCTAGTATGTGATGAAGTCTTAATAGTTAATGTATGGGCTATTACAATTGATGAAGTAGGTGAACATTTTAATGAAGCTTAGGTACTTCAGCACTGAAGTATCATGGAGGCTTAAGTTAAACTTAGAAGTTTAGTAGCGGTCAGCGTTTGCAAAAAGAATAATTGAGTTTGGTAGCTTCTGATGCTTGCAGTTTGATAACTGACCCTCAATATGACTTGTAGAATTTGTCATGGGAGCTACAGGTAACAAATTGCACTCTGCTCCTTGAAGGATGATTTTTTTTTTTTAATTTTAAAAATCCAAGGTAGGAATTTTGTTGCTTTGATTCTAACAAGAAAGTATTTTACTGAAGTGTAGGGCAGGCTTTCAGAGAAGTAGTGGGGAAGGGGAAAATTAATTTCTTTCAGAAATGAAATTAAAGAAAAATTACATAGAGGTAAGGTTGGATTGTATGTGATTCATCTGTTGATTCTTCAGGGTTCTTCTCAGTGGAGACTTTTCATCAGTATTAACTTTCTCATTCCTCAGTCCTCACTTTGTATGCCTGCTTCACAAATTAACCCATACATTATTGTTAATTCAGGGCTACTATTTTAAGCAGACCTAGTCCCTGTATAGAGATGCCTGAATCATTTTCAGCTTCTAGAGATTTTTGTCGTCTATCTGTCTTTCCTCATCTTTCCTAGTTTCCCATTCTGAGAACCTGTGTCGTATTAAAACTACCTCAAACTCGGAATGCCCTTCTTGTCTCTGGATCTTCTTTCTTCTTACTACCACAGTTACTACGAAACTGAAGCACCCATGCCACCTCTGAAATCTGAGCTCTTTGTTGTCCCACTTTTCTTCCTTCAGTGAGTCTCAGAAGTTCCTTGAGACCTTTACACAGCCTGACTGCTGAGTTTTATGAAACAAGAGGTAGGTCAGTATGAAATATATTTCAAGACAGCCCTGTATTTTAGAGACAAACTGAAGTAACATCTCAAATCCCTGAATGCTCTGCTCTGCATCTCCACAGAGGTCAGCCTGAAGCATAAACAGACTGCAGTGCTTGTTTCACAGGCTTGATGGGGAAACCCAAACTGCCTCCGTGTAGCTGCTCCAGAAGCCTTCCCTCTCTTTTCTCTAGTCTTAAAGAAATGCAACTTTCAGACATTAGAATTACTTCAGCCCCACCAGCAGCAGCAGCCTGTATTGTATCTGGCTGGCTGTCAGGCATATTATAATGTTGTTGGTTATTCATTAGCTCAGAGTTTCATAGGACACTTCATATACGTGGTCTTGGAAGTGACAAGGTAGGTGGACCTTTCCTGAGGTGAAAGAAAAGGATGTTGTCTCCGTAGTTTTCCTCTTAACACGACCCAGCTCAGTGTGTGTGCCATGCGTTATACTCTTAGCAGGGCAGACCCTGCTTAGGGTCCCATGATGAATATTGTTGTGTGCATCCTTGAAATATAAAATTACAGAATAATTTAGGTTGGAAGGGATCTCCAGGGGTCATCTAGTTTAACCTCCTCCTCAAAGCATGTATGAACTGTGAAATTATTTCCAGTGAAGAGGTGCAATGTCTTAACTGGTTCCTTTAGTACAATGGTGCTTCTTTTTTCAGGTATATTTTTCCAATCTGTATGTCAAAAGAAACAAATTCCAGGACTTTGTTTCCTAAATATTTAGATACATAGGTGTTAATAAACTGAGAAATTGATGCCAAAAAATTATGTCTTTTTACTTTGCTTTATTTGTGTATTGTATATGAAGTGAACATTCAGGAATGAAAAATTTTTTTTACTACTTTTTACCGATATAATTTCAGAGGTGATTCAAGAGAAGAAACTAGTTTCGGTTCTGGTTCTTACCGTATCAATGGAGTTTGTAGACTCCAGAAATCAGTCAATAATGAGTACAAATAACTTGTAATAAGAAAGTATATGACAGAGGTATTTATACTTGATTTTTCCCATATAATCTTTGAAGACAAGGTGGTGTCAGTTATCCATCTTGCCTGTTTCCATCCAAAATGAAGCAGTGGTTTGAAGCACTAAGCTGCATGGTTCTGAGTGACTTAGAGCAACTTTAAATATACTGTCATTGTAATTCCTTAGCTGTCAGTATCGTCTAGTCCGAAGGAATCTATTTTGAGAGTGACATTCCAGATTGATTTTTGCAGAGCTAACAGCCTAATTCTTTTTTCCCTCCACTCCCTCGCACCCTGCCCCAAATGAACAGGTATGATTTGGATTTAATCAACCAGGAAACCATAAATCCAAACTGATATTTTTACAAAGTCAGTTGTCAGAACAGTGCTGTGCTTAAATTGCATACTTTAGTCTGCCTTAAACTCCTCTGCTTTCAAAGGAACTTTGATACATAAGGATTTTTTTTGGTTAGAAAAATGTAAAGTCTACTGATAATTCAGAAATGTGTATTTATACAAGGGAATAAAGTCTTTTTTATGTCTATTTTTTCCCCTTCCCAACTGAAAAAATTGTCTAATTTCAGTAAGAAGTATATTCGTAGCAGAAGCTGTGTCCATCTCAAGGGCAAGCCAAACTTCAGGATTTGGGGTCAGGTACTTGCAACAAGAGCTTAAGCAGATGTTTTTGCAAACAAGGAGTTTAGTTACCCATGGTATGGTTAAAAAATGCTGGAATATTTTAATGTAAGCATTAAAATACCCCAAATAACATTTCATATTTTTGGAAATGTCAGTTACAGCACAATTTTATGGAAAGGCAATTGCTTTTTACATTCAGTAAACACTTTCATTTTTTTGGCAAAGGAATTGTTTTCAATATTCTTGTCATTCCAGGCCACAATGGAATAGTATAACAAGTTGTTCTTTTTTTGTTGTTGTTTTTACAGTCAATATTACCTCTTACCTGACTTGAAAGGTATGCAGAGGACAGAAAGAAACAGTGTTTGCGGTGTATCATAAGCTGAAGCCAGCTGACATGTGTAACCACAGTTGGCATGGATCAGCCGGTTGACAATAGGCAAAGAACTCCCACCCCCACCTAATGTCTGTGTAGTGCCACCGACCTAGGACCTTACGACTGCTAGTTGGTGTGACTGGGCTTTCAGCAGGCTACAGCCTACCAGGCAAGAAAGTATCTCAGCTCATTGCTACAAGCGTTAGGGTCCAGCTCTGAGTTTCTTTTCAGAGAGAAAAGTAACCTTCTTGCCTTAGCGCACTTCTGCCACAGATGGGGGAATTAGTCCTTCAGGAGCAGAGATATAGGTCCAGTGGACCTAACATCTCTGGCTGCTGCAAGACTCAGAACATTTAACTAATATTTAACACATGACGTATTGTCTTACCTGAAACTAAAGTTTCAGTAAGTCGTCACTGAAGCAGAGGAGTATTTGTAATAAAGGTGGAAGTGGGAAGTGTGGATGACCAGCACTAGCTGTTGTGCTGCTTTCTGAAGAAATAATACTATTCAGTAAATATATTTGGTGTGGTTTTTTTTCTTTAATTATTCTAAAGCTGTAGAATAGACTGGTTCCATTTGGTAACTGCATTTGTTAATTGTTAGTAAGTTTGCTGTAGTAGCACAACTCGGTTGTTCCTGTGTTTTTCTTGGGCCTGATCCAAAAACCTCTGAAGCTTTCCATTTATTTTGAATGGATATTGGATCAGGCACTGTAGTGAGTTGTTAGCTTTGTGTAAAAATGTTTATTTTGATTTGATTTTAATCATTCCTTGCAGAATATTTGGTTATGTGTTGGCAACGTGTAGCTTGGTGAGTACAAATGAAGCTGACATTTATCTGTATGATTTAATCACTTGCAATGTGATCCATTAACAAAACAAAACTTCAGTCGTCAATGGTGTATTCATGTGACATCTAATTTCTTAGAATCATAGTTACTGTTGGTATCTTCTACAATTCTAAAAACAGAAAAACTTTATTTGGTATAATTTGGTGCTTTTTTTCTTTTCTTTTTTTTTTTTTTTTTTTAAATTAAACAGGTACAACAAGCGGATAAGCAATGTGCACTGCTCTGAGCCCGAAGGCACGTGGGCCTGGCCTCTCTGATATGCATCAATACAGTCAGTGGCTTGCAAGTAGACATGAGGCCAATTTGTTGCCGATGAAAGAGGATTTGGCCCTGTGGCTCACAAACCTACTGGGTAAGATACAGTGTATAAGACAGAACGCAGATACTGGGCAGTAAGAGAAGTCTATACGCTGTTAGCTGGGAATTCAGTCCTTCAGACTTCTTTGCGTTTCAAAAATAAAGGTAGTTATGATTAGGGAGCTACCTCCATGTAGTGCAACTGTTAGCAAGGTCAGAAAAGCTAATAAGTAATTTGCCTCCACAGTGTTTCTGTGAGTCGCACGATTGAACTTTATTATTCATTTCATGTTTATTTCCTTTTAAATGTTCTTTTGCATGTGTTTTCTGTATTAATACCATTAAGCTGAATGGTGTTAACTACTGCCATCGACTACGTCTTCGATTTTTATTGGTAGGCCTCCTAAAAAGTATGGGTGTACTGACTGTCTTGAACGGAAGGAGCCATTAAATAATTCTTTACTGACCGAGCAGTCTAGTGATTGATAATTGCTGCCCAAGGCAATGCATGCTAAGACTTGTGGAAGCTTGTGCATAGAGGGGCTGACCTAGTGGCTGCAGCTGGGACCTGGGGATTTACTGGTTGCAGCTGTACGTCTTGGTGTGTGAAGCCAAAACATGTTGTTGATGAAAGAGGGTGCAAACCAAAAGCCAAGAAAAAAAATCAGGTACACATGAAGAGGAGCGAATGAGAGTATGTCCCTGGCAGGAAGGAGAGAGACAGTTCTTTGGGATATACGACTCATTCAAGAACGTGGAATTTAGAAACTACGAGCCAGGAAATAGTATGTTGTTTGTTGAGAACATTCAGGGGAAAATGGCTTTTGTGTGATCTCTGTAAGTCCAAAGGATTCTACGAAAGAAATACATGACTTAACACAATACCTCATCCTAAGGGAAACATGCCAGGAGTTCCTCTCAGTAAACAAAGAGGAGAAAATATTTTGGAGGAGGTGATGTTTACATGAAGCTTTCGTTGATGTTATTTTGGATGAGCGTTTTTAAATTTGGTGTGTGTGGTTTTGTTTTTTTTTGTTTTGTTTTTGTTTTTCTGGAAGTCTGTTCTGGTGAGACGTAGGCAGTGTCTTGTCTTGGCAAATGCTGTAGCTGAACCGTCTCAGTGGTATCATACAATAATAGAGTATATCTAGTGCCTTCCATCTGCACGTTCTATGTTGCTGTATTTCCTCTTTTTTTAAGAGGAAGGGAAGTATCACTATGTTATGAGAGGTGTAGTCAGTAAGTACAGCGTCAGTAGAATGCAAGAACGCAGTATTTTGCAGGTAGGCGATAGCCATTTTAGAGTTGGAATAGTTATGACTCCACAACTGCAAAAGTGGCACTTGTTTTAAATTACATCTTTGTGTGGTACTTCCATTTAAATTAATGAGTTTTGAATATAAAATTGTCTAGGCAATACCAGAACAAAATCCAGAACTCCTGACTTTTCATTCCAATTACCACAAGACAGCAATCCAGAAGACTGTTTTTTGAATCAGAAGCAGCACGTTCCATTAAGGATTTAATATATTGTTTAAATGTTTTAAACAATGACGTTTTAGTGAGCCACTCTAAAACAAATAGAAGCTTGTTTGCAGTTTATAACAGAGTTCTCACAGTGACAAGTTTAGGAATGAGGTCACTTTTTTAGCAAGAAAGTAGCAACCAGCAGGAGGTTCTGAAATGCCAACTATAATTAAAAATCTGATTTTTCGTATGGACACCAAATTCTGCACTGCAGAGCTAAATGGGCACAGCCTTCTTTTAATTACGCAGCATACATAGTTCACTTGCTTAATGCATTCCCCCACACCTTCTCACACCAAGCTCTTCTTTTCTCAGTTTGCCCTGAAGAACTGAAATTATAGTGATTTGTTAAACTGCTTTGAATTCCTGTGTAGGCATTGTTATTCGAATTAATAATTCAGTTAAGTTGAAATTCACATTCAAAATAAATTAAGTGCAACTGAATTAAAGAAATTAATATTCATATAAAGATATTAACTCAGAATTCAAGTTTGGTTTAATTGCCGTATAATTTAGGTTAACTTTAATGAGAGGAGGGCCACGTGAGCATGTTGCTGTAAGATAAAATAGGTATGAATTTATAGCATGCTGTTACCTTGTTGTAAAACCTGTTTGTACTCTCTCTCTTTTCAGCATCCAAATGGATAAAAGGATATGCAAGACTCCTTGTTTGTTTGTTTGTTTTGTTGTGGGTTTTTTTCTCCATGGGAGAAATTGTACTTTGCATTAATGGTCAGTAGATTTTCACATGCATGGATGTGCAGATAACACAGAGCAGATAATATTCTGTGTATCCACACCCTAGTTTGCTCTGTGCTATAACTTGTGTGGCCTCAGTGTAAGTGTCTTTATGCCAGTTTTAATGCAGTAGGATTTCTCAATTTATAAAGAAAATTAATATGCATTTCAATTTTTGCCATGTTGGTTCATGTTTTATTTCATCTATATTTTGTTCATTCATTTGTACTATGACTCAACAAGGACACATAATCTTTTGAAATAAATGCAGATGTTTTTAAAAAATAATAGGAAGTATTTTAGGGAAGAATAGGGCTGAACCTCTTTGAGGTAGTTCACCATCAACTGATGGTGTTTTTGGAAATTTTTGTGGAGAGGCAAATATGTCCTACACAGCATTACTGGAAGTTAAAATGGTGACAGTTCTGCAGCAGCAAAGCCTGGTGTGAGTTTGAAATTACAAACTGGAAAACATTAGAAGGATATTGCACTTTATAATATGAATGAAGGGTTTTGATATTAGATGGAAATTAGGCATAGATAGAATTTGACCTTACCCGAGTGACAAATTGGAAGACTGAGATACATGGTGCAGCTGGAAAATAACACTAAGAATTTTTAACACTGAGACTTTGGACATTTTATTCTAATTTAGCATGGACATTTTTTGGTTTTTTTTAGTAATCACTAGTACTTTTGTACGCATCTTGCTAATTATTTTTGGAACGATGTCAGAGAAATTCAGAGCTTCTGAGAGGATGGTTTGTCAGTACAGCTCCATCACTGAATAGATTTTAGCTGCCTGTATTCTGGGGGCTGGAAAAAGGACATCACAGATGAAATCGATGTGTCAGATGGGATTGACGCATACAATATTGTACATTATAGCATTCTCAGAGTGGGACACGTCAGCATTGCGGGGCTTGGGGTTTGTGTGCTGGAGAGGAAGAGTGGAGCTATGGATATTGTGTCTCTTACCCTCACTTCCCTCTGCTAAGCTCTGGTGGCTCAGTCAAGAGATCCTTGCAGTGGCGAAGTTAAGGAGATGTGTTGACCCAACTGTCTTGCATATCATGATAATCTCTCAGCCTTTTTTTTTATTATGTATAGAGCCAATGAAGCACTCGGCAATGCTTTTACTGCTGACGCACTCCAAATTTGGTAGATTATGTATATGCTTATTTCAGTAGAATGTATATACTTATTTTAGTAGAATGCTCTTGTGGATGCTGAAAACTTCTCTTCCACCTTGAGCAAGCTTCACATGGGAATTAGCACAGCTGGGCCATAGTAATCTTCAAGCTGAGGCAAAGTGGCAATTTGAAAGCAAATAGGGTTTACTTGTCTGCTGTCCTCTCCAGTACTGTCTTGTTTTCTCTTGTGTGTCTGCAGAGGCGAAAGGGCTGATGTCAGGAGGAGTGGGCCTCTCCACCAGTCTGTAGTTTAGAACAGGTACAGAGGGATGGTTTTTCCCCTTTGGCCATTGTGTAGGGCTCTGATCTTTTTTCCAATTCCTGGAGCCCATTTACTAGCTGCAGAGGGTTATGATATTGTAGCTTATTCCATCCAGCTTCATTTAGCACATGGGACCACAGGATAGACCTGTAAGATGTGCCTGGGCGCATGTCTGGGCTCCAACGTTTCAGTGCTGAGGCCTCTTCCTAACAGAGCTTTCTGGGCTTCAGAAGCTCATAGGAAAGGAGCTGGAGAATGCAAGATGCTGAGGAATTGGACATGTAAACATTGAATGTTGCATGGGGCATGTAAAAGTTGCTTGAGTGCAAAAGTGAAGTAAGCTGGGGAGAAAAGGAACAGAGAGGTAAGGATGTTAGGAGAGGCATTGAGTTAAAGACCAGGCGTGGAATTTAAAGGTGTGTTGAAGGAGGTGTAGAATTTGGGGGATGAAGGGTGGGAAGTCTTCTGCAAGAAAACTGTCTGTCTTTTATTCTGAATTAAAACAAAACCTGCTTCAGCTCGGTGTTCTTGTTCATCTTGTTGTCTAAGAGCATTCTGTAGCAGTACCTTTATTTTCAACATCAGCATGTTCAGCTCAAGCCAGTGGGAAATGCAGGTTTTAAATATCTGAATATCAAGACATTCATGATACTGATACTTCTAGGGATTCTGCTGGCACTGATGCAGTTTCTTAGTTGAGTGGCTTTATAATTTTCTTTAGTATCAGCATGCCTTTGGGATTGTTTATACGTCCCATTTCAAGTAAGTGATAATGTCTCAATGCTATCAAAACTATTTCTCTTGCTGTCAGCTATTGTAGGAAACAGAGTAGCCTTGTCAGAAGAGAGCAAGTTTTGCACGTGCATAAAATCATTGGCCTTTGGTTTCTTTATTTTTGCTGCGTTTTTTTTATCTTGGATTTAAATGCCATACAATTTGAGAGGGTCAGGAGGAGTTGTTCCACTGGTGCCTCAGTATTGTAGAAGCTCATCCTTCTACCGATGGGTTTCAGAGATTCACCCAAGTGAAATGTTTCTATTTGTAAACTAGTAGTTTTGTGTTACCACTGAGGTATACAATTAAAATAGTCGATCAGCTAGTTGTGAGGCTGGAGTCAGTGTCTTGCATCATAGTTATTAAACTGTGGAAGAACTCACTGCGTTAATAGAGGAGCCAACTAGGTTTTGGTACTTTGTTTTAGCCTTTGAGTCTCTCCACCTTCTTGTGAAGGCTCTGGTTGTCTGAGATGGCCCGTAGGGAATGCTTTATCTTCAGCCTCTTGGACGCACACCCTGGGCATGGGCTCTTTTTAGTTATTCTCTCGTAGACCTCCCAGTCTGGTTGCGTTAGGACCCCCAGGACTGGGTGGCCTTACAGATAGCTGCCCACACTTTCCAAGCGGTAGGTGTTCAGGTATAACAGTTTGTCTTTTTAAGGGGCATCTGGTGATTGTGGTGAAAGCGAGGGTGAGCAATGCTTGCGAAGTTTGAGAAAGCCTTCATATTCCTGTTTTTTTTTTTTTCATACTTTTAGTGTTGTTTTTTTATTATACTTAATGTTATTACCATTCTATAAAAACATTGCAACTGCTTTCTTGTAATTATAGGGGGAGTTATACATTTTTAATGGAGTTTAATGTTTTTTCCATACAAATATACAGAGCCATTTTTTTCCTCAGGCTATGAACATTACTCTCATTTGAATCAATACATTTCAACTGTTAAATATGTCAGTGTTTCTGTTTTAGCAAAGAAATGCCACCTTTTGGAGCCATAAAATACAGTGAATTGAAAGCTGACACCTAATATATTTTTCATTGGATACAGATGTTCAATGCAAAACTCATTCTTTCAGCTTTCATAAAAGGGAACAGAACTAAAATACTCCGGCTTAGCGTACAATATGCGGTGACCAAACTGCTGATGCAATTCAGCATTTAAAATAATATAAATGTATTGTTAAAAAGCAGAAGAAGATAGAAGAATTTTTCCATGCTGTGTAAAGAAAGAAACCTCTAAACAAGTTTTAGGTTTTTTAATGCTTGACAAGTGAAATAATAAATCAATAAATCATAGGGTAGAATAGATTTGTAGAATGTGATTTTTCTTTTACGTCTGTAAAAAAAAAAAATTTTATGATTTCCAAACCAAAATAAAAATCTTGAGTAGGTTAGAAGTATTTGAAATACATTTTTTAGAAGAAAATGAGTCTATTATAAAATGCAATACTATATTAAAAATAAAGCAGTTACTATAACATAGTCATTTTTCAAATTTAGCTTTCTGATGGCTTTATACCTTTTGTCAAAAATGCTGATGGGGCAAAAGGGAACATATGTAGGCTAGAATGGTGATGAAGGCTTTTGAGGTGCTGAGATGTTCAATTTTTGTATCTGTGGGCTATTACAGTTTCAGTCCTGGCTTCAGCTGAGCTGGAGGCACTGCGAAAATATTGTCAGTTATGCACAAGCTACCACTGAATGTCTGCAGGGCTGCTACTGCTCTTTTGCCTGGAGAAGTCATTTAGGTATACAGGAGCTATAAAGTGGGCTATATGGCAGAGAGAATTAAGGGGGAATAAAAAGGGGAAAAAACCTTCACATTAAACAGATATTTCTGAAGTAGAAATGTGTTAGAAAAAACAAGTTTAACTTCAACCAAAAATATGTCTACTGTTGGATCTGAAGGTGATTTGCTGCAAAGATCTTTATCTTAGTCTTTGATTTTTAACTGACCAAACTGAAAAGACTCACAATTTTTTGCCCAAAGCATGCTGAAGTATCTAACAGTTTTCAGGCAAGGGCCTAGAGAAATCAACTTTCCTTTAGCATTTTTGTAATCATACTGCTTTATAATACTCCTATCTTCAGTATTATAAGTGACATTGACTATCAGATTACAACGTACCAGCAATATATTGCAGAAGTACAATGTTAATTTTTTATTATATACTTCATTTTTGTTACTTTTGAATGTTAGTTTTCTCTTCTGAGTGAAAAGGCATAGAAAAGCTTTACTTCTTTTCTCTAAATCTACTTTTCCTAGTTTTTTTTTGACAAAAAAATGTTGTGAACCTGTTCTAAAGAGAGTAATGTTTTCAGTTTCCAGACATCTCGTAGAAAATAAATTTCCCCAAAATAACTAGAAAAACAAAAAAACTTGGTTTAGTCAGGCAGCTGCTCGTTGTTCAAAAATCTGTGGTGAAAAACCCTGACCTGCAGTGGGCAGACTTCTACCTGTTGTCCTGCTTGCAAACAAGCCAGTTTTGAGTAGCGGGAGTGGATCTGGATAGGATAAAGAACCACTCTCACTTAAGATTTTCATTTTTTTTTAATTTTTTTTTGGCAGGGTAGACTACTGATACTGATGATTGCTCTGTAACAGCCTATGAAAAATGAGTTGATAGTGTTATTCCTGTTCCCAAAGGACATATGTAAATATCACCAAAAAGAAATAAATTCTGTCTTAATAGGAAGAGCAATAATTAGTCCTTGATACTCTCTTGATATTAGTAGAAGTTAAGAGGGCTGAAAAATACAGCTGCTGGTCAAAAAAGTGTCCAAAGAGAAGGGAAATTTTCCAGTAGAAATGTGAAAATGGAAAACCTTCAATAAGAAATTAGAATTATTTTTACCTGGAAATGATGTTAAGATGCTGGAAGCTTAGTTTAGGGTGGTAAGTGATTCCCTTCTCATCTGGCCAGTCCAGCCTGGTCAGAGCGCACATCTCATCATGGGACTCTTGTGATCTCCTCTGCCAGGAGGATGTAATTACGGTGCAATGGAAGGTCGTCTCGTCTGCTGTAGCCAGGGAGGACGATCTGTGGCAGCTGGAGTACAGTGTCATCTAGCATTGATATATTTTGAAATCAGAGTATTTTGGCTTTGTTCTTTGGGTGAAGATTTTAATCTGTGTGGCAAGTAGATACATAACATGGAAATTCACTCTCTCCTCCTTTTCTAATGTATCTAACTTTACTTCTGAAAAAGCTGTTTCAAAGGAGCATTGCAATCACTGTAGTATTTTGTCAACTTCTTGCAGGATCAAGTTTTAAAGTCTTTTTGAAAAAATACAGTCCTTCTTGACATGGTTTTCTACTTCTATTACAAAATAAGCTGCAACTTTTACACTATAGCTACCCACACGTACTGGTGTAAACCATTTGCCTGCTGTACTCTGTCTTTTAAAACACTATGTTAAAAGCGCTGGAATTTCATAAGTAAAATGAGATACGGGGAGTCTGATACGCTAGAAATATTTTTCAAGTACCACATGCCTTCCCAAAGAAAGCATGTTATTTTTGAATAATTTGCTGTATGTCTACCAGTAAAGTAGTAGTGAGGTTATTTACTAAATATTCAAAGTAATGGAAGCGATTCAGTTAAAGCATATTTCAAATTGTTGTCAAGATTTCTATTGACTTCTTTTTTTGCACAAATGCAGTCTATACTATTGCACACTTTCTGCCACGTTAACTTTCTCTTTGCTGTTCAGGTAGAGAAATAACAGCAGAAACCTTTATGGAGAAATTGGATAATGGTGCCTTGCTTTGTCGGTTAGCTGAGACCCTGCAGGAGAAATTTAAAGAAAACAGCTTTGATGCAAACAAGCCTGGCAAAGTAAGTGTCGGTAAACGTTCTAGCATGTATTATCAGTATTTGAGGTATCTGACTGTTTTGGTACTGAACTTTTTTGTGCAGTTAAGAGATTTCATTTGTGGAGTCTCTGCAAATGGGCAGGGAGGCAATTGCTCTGTGTAGAAAAATTACAATTTAAAATTGCTGTAATTAATACTTCTTGGGTAATTATTAAAGTAACTATGAGAGAAAGTTACTCAAAAAATGACTTGTAACATGTGGAGGATAAGACATAGGACAAGATCTAGCAATGTGATGTGGTAGCTAATAGAGAAAACATGATCCTTGTATTTATTTGTAAGGGGAATATTAAGTAGCTGTGGGAGGTGCCTTTTCCTCCATAAACAGCTCTAGGGAGGCCAATAATAAAATTCTATAGTTAGTTTTGGTGCCTTGAGTTTAAAGGTCCTGTTGGTGTACTGGAAGGAGTTCAATAAAGAGTTGCAGGGATGATGTGGAAAATGTGAACCTTCAGAAGATACTGGAGAGCTTTGCAAAGATCAGGTTCAGATCTTGCTTGACCGCAACTCCCTTTAATTTAAATGATTTTCTTAGGACAGTCTTATTGGAAGAAATTAAAGAGTGCAGCAAGTTTCTTTTTGGGAGAAGTTAAATTAAGTGGTTGGCATTTACTGTGAAACTGTTTTTATTTTTCTTATTGAATTCAGATACATCTTCCTTGAAAGCTAAAAGAGGCAAGTACACAGCAGGTAAAAAAAGATTTCAAGAGCAGAAGTCACAAAATGTATCTTCCATTCTTGATGTTCTCATAACTAGTCTGTAGCAGAAATTAGGGCACAGCATAAATTTTATCAGCAGTTCTCAGAACTGACAGCCTTGTGTCAGCTGCAGCTGCGTAAGTTGTTTTTCTTGGTTCCAAGATCATAATTGTTGTTGCAGAAGAAATTGTCTGCACTAAGGCAGGCTTTATTTATTTAATTATCTTTAATCTTCTGTGGGTTGGAGTGGGTGCAGGGGGGCATTGTTTGCTTGCTTTGGTTTTTTTTTTCTAAAGAAAAAGGAAGAGTTAGCTGGGAAGAAAGATAAGAAGTAGAGAAGGAAGGAAACCTTCCTCTGCAAAGGAGGAAAAGACATCTGGAACTCATATTTCATATTTCGAATTGTAATCAGGGTTTGGTTAGTAGAAGTACTGGATGACTTTTGAGTTCCTCTTTATCATATGGTCCAGCTTGTCTTCACCTAAGTGATGACCTGTTAGTGTTATGATAGATCCCAAGTTGAGAAATCACTTATGGCAGTCTTTTCGGTTGAGCCTAGGAACTAGCTAGGGAGAAAGAGGAGTTACTTGTTGTGTTGTTTTTTTCCCTTAACAAACAAACAAACAAAAGGTACCATTATTGACAAAAACTACTAAAAGCTTCAGTGAATACCCAAAAGGTAAACTTGGCTACAGAGTCCTAAAACATTCCCTTTTCATATCTTGTCCAGCTGGTGTACTAGAAAATCAATTAAATCACAAAGCGCAAAGCATGTTTTTACAGACTGACATCTCAGAAAGCCATGTCTATTTAATATGGAAAATAATAGTCATAAATTCATCAACAACTACAAATTTCTAGTGAATATTCAGAAATTCGAACAATATGTTTTTGTTAGATGTCTGACTGCTGCGTTTTGGGGTTTTGGGGTTGGGGTTTTTTGTGTTGTGTGGTTTGTTTTTTTTTTTTTTTTTTTTTTTTTTTTTTTTTTTTTTTTTTTTTTTTTTTTTTTTTTTTTTTTTTTTTTTTTTTTTTTTTTTTTTTTTTTTTTTTTTTTTTTTTTTTTTTTTTTTTTTTTTTTTTTTTTTTTTTTTTTTTTTTTTTTTTTTTTTTTTTTTTTTTTTTTTTTTTTTTTTTTTTTTTTTTTTTTTTTTTTTTTTTTTTTTTTTTTTTTTTTTTTTTTTTTTTTTTTTTTTTTTTTTTTTTTTTTTTTTTTTTTTTTTTTTTTTTTTTTTTTTTTTTTTTTTTTTTTTTTTTTTTTTTTTTTTTTTTTTTTTTTTTTTTTTTTTTTTTTTTTTTTTTTTTTTTTTTTTTTTTTTTTTTTTTTTTTTTTTTTTTTTTTTTTTTTTTTTTTTTTTTTTTTTTTTTTTTTTTTGTATCATCAGACTTTTGTCTGATGGTGGCTCATTTGGAGAGAGCTGACATTTGGAAAGATAACCCAGAAATGTACCAATGTTTGGTACTTCTGTTTTTGCCACAGAAGGTGGCAAAAAGGTAGACCTCCTTTCTTGTATTAACTTCCTCAGCTGAGAATATGGCCTTCCTTACTTCAGTTACCTGATCCCCTTTTTTTTTGAACCTAAGTTACATTAGAAGCCACTTAGACATTTATAATCCCATATGTTGTAATTACTTAGATTGTTGGTCTTTTATTTGTCAAACTTGGTATAACAGGCAATGCAATTAAAGGGAAAAAATTCTGCTCCACTGCTATTTTCTGAATGTATATTATTTCATACTTAGTATAGTAAGAATTCAAAGAAATGGCAGAGTAATAGATTTGTGTCATTGTAGGCTATTAGGGAGCTATTTATCCTTTCAGATTGTAATTCCCTGTGTAGCAGTCCTAGGCAATAGGACTAGTCTACACATTGGAAAATCTGACTTGTGGTGCCAAGGAAATTTATAAGAAGACTATACCATATGAAATTGAGCATAGTAAGAATTCCACAATCCTCCCCTGAATCAGTATTATGCATTCTATTAATAATACATGCGGAATTTTGAAGCCATTTGGCCATTTCTCTGTGCACAGGAAAGCGGAAACGTTATGGTCTTTCACCTAGGTGCCCCGGTGACTTCACTGGCAGCTGGAAGAAGCTGCTGACTTATAGAGTCCAGCCTCTATCAAAACAGATAACGTGCTTTTCTATCCATACATGTAACTTTTAGGTTTTTTAGATAGAAGCAGACCGATATAAAATGAGTGGCTGTCAGAAGGATCAGTTTGCAGGCAGCACCAGGTTGCAGCTGAGTGAGGGAGACAGGATACAAGCTTGAAGATTTGGTCTGTTTTCATAAGTGAAGTTTTCCCTTGTATGGGAGCTACTTCCTAGATGGCAAAGCTCCATAAAAACCTTTGGTTTTAGTTTTGTCTTAGAGGAAGATGATATATCCTGTTCTGCTTGACATGTACTACTGACCATGAATTCACTTTTGCAGCTCTTTGGGGCTGTCTGGCCAGTTTAGCAGCTATAGCAACACACGTAAGAAGACATTAAAAACTAATACTGCACGAACTGACTCATCAGTTTTTTGCCATAATTCCTTAAGTTCATATTGCGATACTCTACAGAATGGCAGAGGTTAAATCCTATTGCACAAGTAGTTAACCCAGAAGCGTAAGTTTCTAGTTGCTGTCAGTTTTGCAGCTTGTGTCTTAACAGAACTGTATCATTCCCTTTCTTATTAGGGAGGACTGAACATTCTTCAGCTTTCAGGGACCCCCTAGGTCAGCATCAGCCTTTTTGAGTGTGGAATAAATCAGGAAAGCATAAACCAAAAAATTTGTGCCTCCCAAAATTATCGCGTTTTCCAAATCTGGAAGGAAAATGATGGTATTGATATAAACTTTTCCTTTTTTTTGTCATGTGGAGACGATTGTGGATAGTGGGGACATTTTCAAAAGAGTTAGGAAACTACTGGTAATATGACTTGGGAATACAGCTTTAAGAAACTGAAAAGGAGATTAAAAGGTGCGCGATGCAAAAGTAAAGTCATCTTTCCTTAAGAGTCAGAGGAAGGCAATGAAGGAGTAACTTTTTATCAGCAAAGGAGATCAATGGAGTAGCTTTTTTATGAGTGACTGGGTAGGTTAGGATTCTTCAGTGTGGAAAGAGGCAGCATGGGGACATATGATGGAATCTGCAAAATCAGGAATGGCATGGTAGATGTTCAGTCTTTTCTATACAAAAACTGTGGGACAGTGAACGAAGCAAGTAGGAGCCAAACAAACAAAAGAGGTCCTTGTTTATGAACTGGTTGGAAATTTCTTGCCAATGAATGTTAAAGTTTACCTGGGTTCAAGAAAACACTGAAGAAGGTGATGGAAGAGAGATCTCTTGGAAAGCTAATACACAGAAACCCTACCTAGATGAGGAAGTCCCCATAGCTGAAAATGGTTGGAGCTTGAGAAAGCATTGAGAGGTGTAACATGTTTGCTATGGTCTTAGTCTTCCCTAGATGCTTACTTATGGCCAGTCTGGGTTGGATGAACCTTTGGCTAGCCCAGTAGTGTCACTATTATGTTCTGTGCATTACTGCTTCTTGGGGCTGAATACCTTGCTGGTTGTGCAGACAGACATGGACAAATTATCCTTTCACAAGGGTCAAACTTCAAAGAAATTTATTTTAAATTAAATATGTACTTTTTGTTCTATGTAAAGATGCCTCTTTAGGACTGAATCCCTACAGCTAAAAATAGCACCTGAGTCACACTCTGCTTTGGTATCTGTTATCCAGGGGAGTAATGTGTGATTGAGAGCACTGGAGTTTGGCAGGCTCTGGTGCCACTTATGCAGTCTCTGCTCATTGCCCTTCTGAGCTTAATGCCCTAATAGGCACTTTTGGATATCATAATAGATACTCTGAATGCATCCTCCATGAATCTAGCTGCCTAACCCTGTAGTGTTTGATTTGTTAATCATTCAGTAATAAGTTATTAAAAGCATTTCAGTTTCTAAAGGTGAAGCATTTAACAATTGTTCATTTCAAAGGCTGTTAGACGCTAGGTTCTTCTGCAAATCCTAGAAGGCAATGTTCTTCACTGTTAAGCAGCTAAACTGTGCTTTAAAACCTGATGATTCTGAAAATGTTGATGTTGTATCTGACCCTTTGCTTCAGACAGAAAAAACTTTGAGTTTTAAATGAAAATGGAAATTTTAAACAGGGAGGGCAGTATTAGACTGGTGTGACTGTATCCTCTATTTTTCAAGAAATCATTTTTTCCCCTTTTTGGAGATTTTACAGTCATAAATAAATCTA